TTGTGGGATATCTATGATATACTTGAAACAAATCAATGTGTTAAATTGATAAAAATTGTACAAGTGTGTTTGTTAATAGCTCCTACAACCACTTCAGTTGTAAGATATTTTGATCTAATAACACAATTCATAAATCAAAATATGCCATTTGACAATATTATTGAAAAAGTAAATTTTTCATGTAAAACGCAAGAAAGTTATTTGGAAATACTTTAATATACTTTATTGATGTTTTTAATAAAACAAGCTTTAAAATAATTATATGTTATTATATAAATACAATAAACGGTATTTGCCTGGTCATTTTTAATTCGAAAATATATGAGTTTGAATTACATAAATAATTAATAAACTGTATTTCAAAACTCTGTACTGTTTCCAAAATTTATAAAAACCCCTTCACACAAATTTCCCATTATTTACTGTTTTTATTTGTATTGTTTTTTATTTTCCTATTTGTTGAGGTTTTAAAACCCTTAAAAATCAATACAGTTTCAATTATTGAACAAAAAATAGGTAAATTACCCAAATATTGGGTAAATCTTTCCTGATTTTCCAGGTTCGTTATTTGGTCAGTGATCCATTTTGTAACTAAACGTCAGTATATATCTATCTTTCAAATAAACATAAGATAAACGACAATATAATTATTAACTAATGATGTGATGAAGGACATTATTGCATCAAATGATACAACACTTTAATTAACAATAAGTTTTAGTTTATTTCAACAATTAAAAAATAAAAGCATTCGATAACACAAAACAAACATTTAAACACGATTTTATTTTTTTGTTTTTTTGTGAAACATAAGAATAGTGAAAATAATATGAATTAGACCATTGAATACGGATACTTGCATCTAAAAGCCAACATTGGGAAACTTCCGTCATTTGAAAGAATTGGTAATTGGGTGAAGGCCTCGAAAAAGTCCAAAAAATATCTTGGACCCTGACAAGTTTTATCAAGTGAATTTTCAAGGAGTCTCTTACTATTTTCATCAGTGTTTAGTCTTCCAATTTTCCTGGAAATCAATTCTTTTGAGTCAACAAAATCCTTTAAGTTGATTTCAAATCGGTGTTTTCTGAATATATCGAGTAAATTTTTAGCCATTTCACGTACGTACTCATTCTTGTCATTGCTTATTCCAAATTTGATTTCAATCTCCAATTGTTCAGCAGCAATAATAATGTTTTCTACAGCCTTAATAAACTTAGTATTAAAAACTCTTGGATGTTCACTTAACCCAGTTAATAAGTTTCTACTGTGTATTACAAAGTCACTACATGTGGCTTCCAATTGTTTTAACAACTGGAAGACGTGTTTATCAATGTGTGTGACTGAGCCTCTTAATCGAGTGGCTGGTTGTTCAAAGTCTCTTAAAGCCAAAGACCCACAAAAGAAGAAAACACAAATCACAAGTTGCACCATAAAATATACTTTCAAAGTACACATACACTTTATAAATGTTAATCTTCACTTCACTTAATGTTTATACAACAACCAAATAACCTTTGTTTTCAGAACAATTGCAAACAAAGATCCTAACATTAATCGTTAAAGAAACAACTCCCACTTGAAGTTATTTAACTCGTGTATTGTAAACAACCTTCACAACGCTCATTTTTTCAATTATGTTGATTCATATCGGAAATAAAGAACCAAATTATTATACTTTATTAAATCTTTATCCAATTAATCCAACTCCGATAAAAAAGAATTAATGAATACAGAAACCATGAAACTAAAAGAACACAAAAAGTATTCACTTCATCTTGCACGTTCTTCTCGACAACACTGGGTTTATTACTTCTCTTTGTTTCCTTCACTCTTTCATTCTTTCCCTAATATTCGACAACTATAATATGATGGTAACTTTACTATATATTATTAGTTATTACAACATCGAATTAAAACACCAATTGTTCGAGCATTTGAGTGACGCTCTGCATATTGAGAGGTGTTGGGGTTTGTTGAAAGTTTTTAAAGAGGAAGATGAGAACTGCGAAAGTGAAAGCGATGAGCGTTTCAAAGGTGGACAGAAGAAACGCTGCTATTACAAGAAACACACAAAGAGCGCAAAGTACAAAAGTTAATTTGTTGCTCTGCTTTGTGCAAGACGAGAACAAATGTGGTCTTCATACATTTCATGCTTCAGGAAAATTTGCTTTTTGAAAAAATAAGACTGAAAAGATTGTTTTTTGCGGCAAAAAAATTATTTTTGGTAAAGCAATTTTATAAACATTTAAATAATCGGGACATTAGGTATTGTTAAATTTTATATTTTTAAAGTCAAATCTAAAAATAGAAGACAACTGAAAATAAATAACATATAAAAAACAATTAACGTTTTTATTATTTAAATTAGCGAATTATTTATTAACCTTTATTTTAAAAAACTAAAAAATAAATTTTATAAATATAGCGTATTTTTAAAATTAACGAATAAAAAAGATCAATAGAAAAATTGACTAACAACAATAATTTAATTTTAATAAAATGTACAGTCATGCGAAAAAGCTGTCGCGTTTGGAAAAACCTGTCTCGGGTGGTAATGAACTATTCTAGTACTATAAACAAATGATCTGAAATAGAAAATGTTATTTGGAAATGCCGAATATTTTTATTCTATTTTTGTGAAATGACCCTGCAAATAAATCGAATAGAAGCTATCCTGTATAGTAAGTAATTATAAATTAC